TGATTGCTTCATATAGATTTCTTCTTCCAAATCATCATGAAGGAAGGCAATCTTCACATCAAGCTGTTCAACTTCCAAATTTAAACTTGCAACTAGTCCAAGCACAACTCGAATAGAAGACATTTTCACCATAAGGGAGAATATTTCTTCAAAGTCGATACCCTTTTTCTGACTGAAAGCCTTCACAACCAGCCTTGCCTTGTATTTTAGTTGTGAGCCACTCTCATCAGATTTCAATTTATAAACCCATTTGTTTTTGAGAGCCCTTTTCCCCTTTGGTAATTTCACCAAATCATAAGTGTAATTCTCATGCAAGGATTTTAATTCCTCTTGCATTGCTTTCAGCTACTCATCTTTCTTGTCATGTGATATAGCCTCTTGATAAGTCTCTGGCTCTCCCCCATCTGTCAGCATCACATACTCATGTGGAGGATACCTAGTGGAAGGTCTTCTCTCTCTAGTTGATTTTCTAAGCTGAACCTGTGGTGAAGGAATTGGAGATACATGTTCATTCTGTACTTCCTTTGTATTTTCATTTTTATAGGAGTTTCATCACTAACTGCATCATCCTGTTCATTTGGTACAGCTCCCTTGTGATCACCATCAACTAGAGGTGGGAAAATCGGATCCAAGTTAATTGGAACATCAACAGAGAATTTCGGCTTCTCAATTTTCTCTATATCTTCAATTGTTTGATCCTCAAGAAATACAACATCTCTGCTTCTGATTACTTTCTTGTCCACTGGATCCCATAACCTGTACCCAAACCCTTCGTGCCCATAGCCTAAGAAGATGCACTGTTTTAGCCTTGTCATCAARCTTGTATCTTTCATCTCTAGGAATATGAACAAATGCCCTACAACCAAACACTTTCAAATGACAGTATGATATGGCTTTCCCTGTCCAAACTCTTTCAAGAGTATCTCCATTCAAAGGAACTGAAGGAGAAAGGTTGATGAGGTCAACTGCAGTTCTCATAGCCTCACCCCAAAAGGATTTGGATAACTTAGCATGAGAGAGCATGCATCTGATTCTGTCAGTAATTGTTCTGTTAATTCTCTCTGCTACTCCATTGTGTTGAGGAGTCTTAGGAACACTTTTCTCAAGCCTGATACCATGGATCCTACAATATTCTTCAAAAGGACCCCTATATTCACCACCATTTATTAGCTCGGATGCACTTCAACTTATTCCCTGTTTCTCTCTCAACCTTGGCATGAAAATACTTGAAAACATCCAACACTTGATCCTTAGATTTCAAGGCAAATGTCCACACTTTTCTGGAGTGGTCATCAATAAATGTCACAAAATATAATGCACCACCAAGAGATCTATCTTTCATGTAACAAACATCAGTGTGAACTAAATCTAAAACATGAGGCTTTCTAGATAGAGAAAATTTATGAAATGCAACTCTACTCTCTTTGCCAGCTAAGCAATGTACACATGTTTCAAGAGGCATACCTTTCACATCAGGAAGAAGATTTTCTTTGGAAAGTATCTGAATCCCTTTTTCACTCAAATGTCCAAGCCTTCGGTGCCAAAGTTCAATGGATGAATCATGAMCTGCATTCACCTCTCCTTTGCTCAACCTTGTTTGCATCACATAAAGGGTATTGTGCTTATTTCCCTTTGCCACAATGAGTAAGTCCCGATTGAGCTTCCATTTTTCATCACTAAAGGTATTTGCATAACCTTCATCATCTAACCTGCTAGTGGAAATCAGATTTAGGCGGATATGAATAACAAGTCTAACATTCTTCAAAATTAATTTGCAACCAGTATTGCTATCTAAATAAATGTCTCCTATACCAACAATCTTGGATGTACCAGCATTTCCCATACGAACATGTCCAAGATCACTTGTAGTGTAAGTTGTGAAAGATTCACCATGGGGAGTAACATGAAAAGAAACACCCGAACCTATGACCCAATCACTGTCTGGGCATGCAAAGTTGACATAATTATCATCACAAACAATAACAGCATCACCCTCGGCTGCAACAGCTGTAGTATCTTTTTCTTCTTTTTTGCCTTCGCCTTTTCCTTTGGCTTGTTCTCTTTTCCACACTCTGCATTCATTTTTGTAATGTCCCGATTTATTACAGTGATGACAAATGATATTTTTCTTGGACCTATACCTTCCTCTGGTTTTATCATATTTGTTACGGAGACCTCTTCTCTTACTTCGTCCCTGTCTTTCTTTATTTTCTGTTACAAGAGCTCGAGATTCTAAGTAAGTCCCTTGTTCTTTCCTCCTGGACTCTTCATTCAACAAAGCATCATTGACTGTGTCAATGGTTACTATACCATTAGGGGCTGAATTACTAACTGAAACCACCAAGGTTTCCCAACTGTCAGGCAATGAACTAAGTAACAATAAGGCCTGCACTTCATCATCTAGATTCAATTTCATAGTAGTCAATTGATTTATCAAAGCTTGAAAATCACACAAATGTTCAGACATGTTAGTCCCATCTTTATATCTCAAGTGTGCTAGTTTTCTAATCAAGGCAGCCTTGTTTAAACCTATTTTTCCTTTCATACATAGACTCTAATTTTTTTCCATAAAACATCAGCCCTAGTTTCTTGTGCAACATGGTGAAAAATACTGTGGTCGATCCGCTGTCGGATTTGGCCTATAGTTTTTTTATGCATGATTCCCTATTCATTACTTGACTTGTCACTTGGCTTTACTTCATCACCTCTTATGGGTAGGTACAAATCTTTACAATAAAGAATTTCCTCCATTCTAGGTTTCCAAATGGCATAATTCGATGAAGTCAATTTTATCATAACACCCGAGGGTTCCTCCATTTGTATCAACACAAACAATTAATTTCAACCAACCTGACTCTGATACGCAAGTTACACTATAGTAGCAGAAATGAATGTAAAACCAATCCCAGGACAGCAAGAACTTTTCCCCCAAATTTGTGTGTCAAAATGGGTTTGCCAACAACAATAATAACAAGTAAACAATTCAGCCAAGTAACATAAAAACAAATAACAATCACCACACAATAGCACACCAAAATTTTTACGTGAAAAACCCCAAAATCGGAGAAAAACCACGGGACCTATGGTCCGTAAAAGTCTTCCACTAATTCAGAAATTAATGGGTACAATAGTCTTCTCTACTTGCAACTAGATGCTTACAAACATCAAGGAAATAATCCTTGGCTCACAAAAACAACATTAACATCACTAAATGCAAGGTGGATACAACACAAACATAAATTTAGATCTCACCAAATTGCTGTAAATCTGAACTGAGAAGTAGAGAAAAAGAAAAGATTCACCAGATCTGAACTGGAGTGGGATTCTTAACTCCAATACTTAATATCATCAAGAACGGGCTTGAAAGGCACCTCTGAACTTGATCTTGAATGGAACAAATGCCAACTTTTTCCTCTTCTTCACAAAACTCGAAGAACAAAAAAAAACTTTCTTTTAGGTTCTGTATATTTTTTTTCTTCTTCGTTCTTTTCTGTTCGGTGGTTAATAGTTTGACGCCACTCAAAAAACCAAATAAAAAATGTGGTAACCACTTTACCATTCAATTCTTTATATTAATCGAATTTTATTTTGAAAATTTGAAGAATAGTAAAGTATAAATTCAACATTTGATTTGTTTTCGTTAACATTCAACCGCAATGTCAATTGTCAAATACAAAACGTACTTTAACATAATATATAAATAGTAAAGATAGACAAAAAGTTTATTTATAAATCGAAAAATATCAAATACTATTTGGGCCGGCGTAGCAGAAATAGATCGAATGGTGGAGTGATCTTGATTTTTATGAGATTATTAAACAGACAAGGCAACACGAGAGAAGAAAGAGGGGGGGGGGGAGATATTTGGATTCCCGACACAAAACGTCAGATCGGGCAGGTGTAATTAGAAGCCACAATCGTCGCTCTCATTCACGAGCCCTGTCGTACGATTTCATCATGTAGAAAAGTAGAGAAGATCGACACGTGGCGTGAATTAATGTGGATGGTCCTGTTGGTAGGGGTACTTAAGTCCTAAAAAACGTGGAGAGCGTCGGTAGTGGGCCCACTCCCATAGACTTCTCGACGTTGAGCCTTGAGGAGGATTCTCTTCCATGCATTTTTCTTTCTGTTAGAAGCTCTAGCCATTTATTCTCTGAGAAACCCAAGAAGTATTGATAGGATGTTGAGGTGTCTCTTTGTTTGACCGCTTGGAACTTAAGATGATATTTAGCTTCCTATCCTATCATCTCATAAGAAGAAATTTTGTACGGGCAAGATCTAAAGTCAACATCTTTAGCTGGTTCTGAGTTTGCCACGTCGTACGTCTTTAGCTTAGCTGAAATAGTTGCCGCTCACTGAGTCACTCTGACCAAAATCCCAAATGTCCCATGCCCCATGTTGGAGCCAAGTGAGGTGATATCAATTAAATTCATCATCCTTGAAAAAAAAAAAAAAAAAAAACATCACGGCCCGCCCTACCCGATCTATGGCTTTGGCGTTCATCATCCCATCATCGATCTACCTCCATCTCTTTTTAACACTTGGGCTGTGTTTGGTTTGAAGAAAAAAGTAAAGGTTTTTTCCTTAGAGTAGGTTCTATTATTTTGAGAATTTTACATTTTATTCAAGCCTCCACTCTGCATATCGAGAAACTGATCGTGTGGTGTGGTGGGATTCTCCGTTCAAAATCAAGAATGCGAAAATGGGTCAAATTTATGTTCGGATTAAATGATTTCCATGGCTTGACTTAACTTGCAATATAGGTTGTTTCAAATTATAGGAATAGGAGATTAGAGAGAGAGAGAGAGAGAGAGAGAGATTAAAAGAGGTGGCGGGAAAAAACAGTTGGGTAGGGTGGGGGGATGAGGCAAAGGCGGGGCCGAGGGAGGGGTTGGTATTAGCTGGACGAAAATCATAGCAGTGATGGCGTTTTCTATTTGAATGCAGCAGTCCCCATCGCTTCCCCTCCTCCACCGCTGTGCGCTGTGTATAAAACCCCGAAAACCTCTCAAAAATCTCAACATATATTCCAACCCCCTTATTCACTTTTGTTTAGGGATTCCCTCTCTCTCTCTCTCTCTCGGACAATCAAAACATGGCCACATTCACATACACCTCCTTAACGCTTTTGTTGCATATTTTCACATTTGCTCTCTCTGTCTCGGCTCGTCCCGCTACTTTCCTCCAGGATTTCCGCATCACGTGGTCTGATTCCCACATCAAGCAAATCGATGGAGGTCAAGCCATCCAACTCATCCTAGACCAAAGTTCAGGTAATTAAGCACTTATTGGGATCCTATTCCTCTCTCTCTCTCCAGAACCAGATACCAATGTCTGTCTAGATATACGCTTTGATTAATTTCATCGAATACAATTTAAGTTTTGTTTTTGCATCAATTTTTGGTACATTTCCAGGATGTGGGTTTGCCTCCAAAAATCAGTATTTGTTCGGACGTGTGAGTATGAAGATCAAACTCATTCCGGGCGACTCCGCCGGGACTGTCACTGCCTTTTACGTACGTAGTTGTCTTCTTCTCGCTCTCAGCTCATCAGGCCACTTGGTTTGTCCACTACTGAAATAATTAAGTTGCTTGTTTTTACAACTTGTTGTCTGTTTTAATATGCAGATGAATTCGGACACCGATAACGTGCGCGACGAATTGGATTTCGAGTTCTTGGGCAACCGGACTGGGCAGCCATACACAGTCCAAACCAATGTCTTTGCCCATGGTAAGGGTGACAGGGAACAAAGGATCAACCTCTGGTTCGACCCTGCAGCAGAGTTCCATACTTACTCTATTCTATGGAACCACGATCAAGTTGTGTAAGTTCAATTAAATTCAACTTCATCAATAAGACAAAAAGAGAAAGAAAGAGATAAAATTACGTACGTTATTTATTGATATGAATGGTGCGTGGTGCGTGCAGCTTCTTTGTTGACGACGTGCCCATTCGAGTTTACAAGAACAATGAAGCCAAGGGGATCCCTTATCCGAAACTCCAACCCATGGGGGTGTACTCCACACTGTGGGAAGCCGACGACTGGGCCACCAGAGGCGGGCTGGAGAAGATAGACTGGAGCAAAGCACCCTTCTATGCTTACTACAAGGACTTCGACATTGAAGGATGCCCAGTTCCTGGACCGGCGACTTGCGCCTCCAACCCCAACAACTGGTGGGAGAGCCCTGCTTATAAGCAATTGGACGCCGTCCAACTCAGGAATTACAGGTGGGTTCGCATGAACCACCTCATCTACGACTACTGCACCGACAAATCCCGCTACCCGGTCACCCCGCCGGAGTGTTTGGCCGGTATCTAATGTCATGTTATATTATATACTAATCAAAGCAACTGGATTGATTACATATCATATCCCATGCCGATCTCGCCGGAAAGCTCAAGTTTTTTTCAGGACAATGAAGAACTATACACCATGGATAGGATGGATCATGCAATTAAATTAAGAATAAGACGACGGATTTATTTTCAAATGTGGCCCAAGCCTAAGTCTGTGTAGTTGGTGTTAATGCTGTAATAATCGGCGTAGGTCGATATCTATTTTGTGGCTCCACGTGTTTGTGTTGGCTCGGAGTTATTAATTTGTATGTTAATAAAAGTCCCGAGTGTTTGTGAAAATGATGGGATTATAAACTTGTATATATATAGCCCTGATCGATGATTGGATGAGAATGAATTAAACTCATCAGTGACCGGACCCAACGGCATAAGGTAGGTGCCTTAATTGAGTTTGATAATTTTTTTTAGTTAAATTAAAGAGACATATTATATGTATATTTATCATTTAAGACAATTAAACCAAATTTGGATTCGAGGTTTTATATGACCAGAAATCTTTCTGTATATGCCTTTTTCACTAAATTTTGGCATGTATTGTTTTTTATCTCCTTCTCTTCTTTTAATTTCCTTATCCTCTTCAGCCAAAATTTTGGGTTCTTTGTTTTTGAATTCCTTTTCTTTTTTATTTTCTGTTATTTTGGTCGTTTCAACAATTCCAAAAATAATTTCCATTAATTTCCTTCTTTTTTTATTTATTTTAATTTGTAAAAGGCAATGAAAAGTGAAAAAGACCACACCATACTATTAGCTGATGCATCTTAATACAGAAGTGACAATTAACATGGTCTTTGGAAGTGTGGGCGTTTTTTGGACCGATTTTCAAGAAAAAATGCCCATGTTTCTAAGACCTATTTTTCACAAAAAAAAAAAGCTTCTACCACGTAGGTAATGAGCAATACTATGCTGTTTGGTAAGGTGACTTTTATGTATACGTGGGATACACATCAGTCAACTGTTAGGAAAAAAGGTTCACCAAATTTAAGGTTTTATGCATCGGTAAGATCCCGATTTTCAAGACATGCCTGATTTTTTAATAATCAACCGAAYCAAACAATGAAATACATAGGCGTTTRTTGGATCCAACGTGAAAAAAAAACGACCACAATTCCAAACATCCCCTAAATTTTGCAATAGCATAGTGGAGAGAGCATTTCAGTGGTTGAGGTCCCCTTGATATGCGACCTGCAGGCTGCAACTATGTCTGATGCATCGTCTGTGGTCGTGCTCAATGGCTGATGCTGCTCGACCGGCGACCGGAGCCTTTCAATCCCAGGGCCACCTACGTATACGTCTGTTGTTTGATTTCTGCCGCATCAATACTTGACGACATTTGCTTAACCATTGTTGACTTGATTGACTGGGTAAGAAAATGAAAAATTAATACTAGGTACTATTGGGGTAGTTGGTGGTGCATGAATCTAATCTAAAGCYTTATAAATACAATTTCTACAGCACTTTCTCTCGCTGACCATTTTCACTGTTTCTCACGGTGCATACATTGCTTCATGATGTCCCAGGACTTGAGGTAGAGCTTTTCTGGCACGGACTTGTTATTAGATAATAAAAGCCTATTCAGAGACCTCATTTAATTTAATTTAAGCATCTCACCTAACAGCTTAAAAGTTTTTAGGTTGAATGGTTAGTTGAGACCTTCTCAGGTGGTTAAAAAAAATTTTAAGTTCCTTTGAATTTGACACAGCTCCCCGTTTAACAGGTGTGCAAACGATTGGCTAATAGTTAAAGAATAAAAACCTATTCAAGAATCTCACCTAACAGATTAAGCTTGTAGTAATTAACAGTTTCCTGACATACACGATATAAAGAGGAAGAAAGATAGGTGAATGCTAAGGCTCAATTTGAAAAGAATACAAACACAAAATAATACAAAATACAAGGTTTTGTATCTCCATCCAAACTAAGCCTAAATGACAAGAGATTTGTGTCTCTGCCTTCTCAGACACTGGATCCAGATCGCACCAAGCTATCTATTTCCGAGAATGTGAATATTTATACATTTCTTTGGATATTTTACCTTTACAAGGTAAAACAGTCCAACTGTAGCAAAACAAGCAACTTTCCGTTGTTTCTCTCTCTATTCCATAGGGGAGAGAAGGGAGGGGGACTGAGGAAGAGAATCAAAGTAATTGAAGTGATGATGGTCCATTATTTGGCGCAAACTGATCCATTGGTTGGGTCCCCAGTCCTAATGAAGGTTGTGCCGACGTACAGGGAGCCCCCCCCCCCCTTCTATTTGACTCATTTTATGTCTTCTTTCTGTAAAAGCCAAGGACAAAGGAATCTATTTACTCTATTCAGCTGAAAATTTGCAACCAGAGTTTCGGACTTGGGATTTGGACGTTTTCAGGACAAACACAAACATTATTTTTCCAACTGTTTCCACGTCAATGACATCAATTGCAACGACAACTTATCCTTTCAAAACCACTAATGGGAAAATGAAAGAAAATAATAATAATTAAGTATCGTATAGATCCAAGAAAAGAGCAAGTATTCAGATTTTAGTTAAGTAAATCTTGCCATATTGAGATTTTGGATGCATTCAATCAACACCCTGAAGGATATATAATGAAATTAATTTTGTATCGAATTTTCTATTAAAAAAAGCAGATTTTAGCAATGTTTTCTAACCGCTGTTTACCCAAATGGTTGGACGGTTTGGCCAAAAACTGTTGAATTCATCAATGATCCATTCAATAGTTTTAACCATTTTTATTTTTGCCCTCCCTTCAAACAGTCGAACCATCAACTTAAAAACCGGTGGCCAGGACAATTCTGATTCCAGATCGTTTTTTTCTTAACATGTAGGAATGTTTGGCTACATATTTTTCTTAAATGGCTTCCTATTATTCCAAACAGAGGTGGATCTACTGATCAGTTGGTATGAAGTTTATACCACCAAACCAGATCGAGACAGGAGTGTTTTCCAAGTACATCCAAAAGAAAATGTTTTTTTCAAGTTTGATCTCAGATATTGATGTCCACTGGTTGAGCTCCATTCTACTTTGCAAACTATCCATGCCGACGCCAGTGAATGAAATCCACAAATAAAAGAAGGAAATAGAAAAAAAAAAAACAATCGAACGATGGAGAAGACAAATTAGAGGTTACACGCACCGACACATCTCAATTCCGAAGGTGATTTCTACCAAAAAAACTCTCAAGGTGATTTAATGTGGAGATATTTTATCGAATTAAAACAAAAAAGGAAAAAGAAAAACAGAACTTCTTAAGCTTTAGTACGTATGAATCTCCTGACCCGGTTAAGATTAGGCGTGTCAATTTAGATGGATTGAAAGGACCATAAAATATATTGAATTGGACTAGTCGAGACTTAGTAGTCCAAAGTATTTATTGGATGTAATTGGACCTGATTCATTTGTAATGATTTATAGTGTGTTAAGAGTTAAATTTTATTGACATGGTAAATCAAAGAYCAAGTCAAGTGTCCTAGTTTGTAGGAGTTGTGGCTGAGGTTGTTCACCACTCTGTTTTGATTCTGTTCCTAAAAATCTGCACATGTTGTTAGTAAACATTGTGCTGTTTAGAATATCTCTATCTAAGTTGTAAGTCTGTTTTTTTTATGAATGAGCAATTCAGCTTGAATCTTCTATTCAATCCCAACATCTGGTATCAGAGCTTTTGCATTAAAAAAAAACAGCAGTTTTCTTGCAGCAGCAAGGTAATATGGCGTCCGACAGCAATAGTTTTGTGCAACCAGCTATTCCCCGTTTTGATGGTCATTATGATCATTGGAGCATGTTGATGGAAAATTTTTTAAGGTCCAAAGAGTATTGGGACATTGTAGAGAATGGGGTGACTGAACCAGTTGCAGAAGAAACACTCACTGAAGCACAAAACAA